CGACGATGTGTGTGACGCAGTTCGAGGACTTGACGCAGAGTGAAGATTTGGTCGATGCACCCGCGACCTGGTCGGAATCCGGCTTGTTGTGATCGGTGAACACACTACCTACCAACCTGCTATTCAGGCTTCGGTTAGCTGAAGGTCCTGCTTGTGAATACCCCAGAGAGACGTTCTCCATTTTGGCCTGAGCAACCAGTCAGCATTCCGCCTATGAGCAAATAACCAGCCTGTTATTTTGTGTTAAATATTGTTGTATCATGCAAGGTTCGTCAATTCATCCAGTTCCCATTTGTTGTCAGAATATTCTATAAGGAAGCTGAAACCTAATTTGTTGCGGTTATTAGCATCTAGCTGATCTACAGAACAACGAATCACAGTATTGGTTCATAAATGGACCGGCCCATAAAGAACCCTTCCAAAAATACACCCCACGATGCAAATGAAATATTTGTGTCACCAATACACATTCCGGTACTAGTATATGAAGGAAATGACAGAAGATTACCGGATCAGCAGACCTGACGAGTGGTAAGAACCATGAGACCGGTTACGTGCTTCCCGGGGAATTTTGTCGAGTCATTCAGATACTACTGATAGTCTAAAAAGCATATATTGTAGAATTCCTTGCAAAGAATAGTCAGTTACAAAAGAATATGTTCAGTATTGCTTATTAAAGGAAAGGCGCGTAGACCAGCAATCCACTTCACCTCGTCAAAACAGAAACAACTACTGTACTCGTATATGATCATATTTGCATCGAAGGATTAAAGTAGAGAAATCGCCCACTATAGACATCCGAAAGGTTTCAGAGGATTGGAAAAGTGAGAAAGTAGATCACGTGATGTGTCTACGAATTCCACCAATGTGTTGTGAATCGTCTCCCGAGAGATCAGACTTCTGAAACGCCACAAATCGCCCGGTCCAGATGAACTCCCGCCGGTCCTCTTCCAAGACGGTGGTGCAATCTTTGTTCGCGAACTAACTTTTTTATTGCAAACCATCTGGAATAGTGAATCCATTCCGTCGGAATGGAGTTTGGCCGACTTCGTACCTGTTTTCAAGAAGGCCACCCGCCAGGATTGCTCCAATCATCGACGGATCAGTCTCATCTCTCATCTCACCAATGGGGTATGAATCGGAATTCAAATATATTTGTCCAGTAGGTGAATAAAACAATGGAAAACACGGTTGGAGGTTTCGAGAAATGTGAATTGGTTTTTGAAGAAACGCGAAAGAGAACCCGTGGGTTGGAATTTTATTTACATACTACTACTTCCGCACTTTCGACGCCCTTCTAAAGCGCGTTCAATCCGATGACGCGGACAATCTAGGCCTGCTCATCAATTGTTTCCCACCCTCTATCTATGAGCACATCTCTGCTTGTAAGACATTTGAAAAGGCTATCTCTCTGCTCGAATCGCTGTACGTTTGCCCCAAAAATGTTGTGTTTGCGCGGTACCTGATTTCTACTTGTAAACAAGACCATGGGCAGAACACAGACCAGTTTGTTTGAAACATCAAAACACTCGCTAAAGACTGCAATTTTGGGTCCATCTCAGCCGAAGAATACTGCGACGATGCTATGCGCGACGAATTCATAAAGGGACTCCAGTCTCATGCCATTCGTACTAGACTGCTCGAACAACTATCTCTAAACTTTTAGTCGACATACGATATAACCAGGTCCCTTGAAATTTACCAAAAATAATCGCGGTCGTACGAATCAGAGGGTCTTCCGTGTGCGTCGACTGATCCGCTTCATCCGACTGCTTCCGTCGCCGACCCTAAAGAGGCTCCTAAAGAGGCATACGCCGTGTGATTGATCTCTTCGCTTACTACTCTTAGCGGATACCGTCATTTTCGGACAAAATCAATACACTAGTTCAGAAAAAAACATTCCCTTTACCACCATCCGTCTGAAGCGCATTTGAGGGACTCAAACAAGACTTGGACAATGTCATGCTCATGACCGTAGACCATGAGACCGTGAGACCATGAGATACCTTTGGTCGTAGAAAGAGACGCTTCACATGTAGCTATAGCAGCATCACTCACTCAAAATAACCGACCTGTAGCCTTCTTTTCGCGCACTCTGACTCAAAGCGAACGACACCACTCCGCTGTCGAAAAGGAAGCCTGCGACACAGTCGAAGCGATTCGCAAGTGGCCACACTATCTTCCGGGCAAACACCTTAAACGTATTACGGATCAACGTTCGGTAGCCTATATCTTCAATAACAACCACGCTAGTAAAATCAAAAACGACAAGATCCAGAGATGGAAACTCGGGCTGTCCGCTTACCACTATGACATAGTATACTGACCCGGTAAAGAAAACTCCGTCACGGACGCACTCTCCCGTAAAGCATGTGCTTCCAACTTCAACTGAAACAGAAACAGAATACGCTACACGACTCGCTGTACCACACTGGAATCACGCGTATGATTCACTTTGTGCGTTCCAAAAATCTACCTTACTCCGTTGAGGAAGTGAAAACAATGACTTCTGGTGCAGCATATGCGCCGACTTGAAACCGCGCTTTCATAAGTCGCTCACGGGGCTTCTGATCAAGGCTACGCAACCATTTGAAAGACTCAGTATCGACTTCAAAGGGCCGTTACCCTCAACGTCTCGCAATTGCTACATTCTGACGCTAATAGACGAATACTTCCGGTTCCCATTCGCTTTCGCCTGTCCAGATTCGCAATCGTCTACGGTTATTAACTACCTCTGCCAACTATTTTCGATCTGTGGGATGCCAGCCTACATCCACTCGGATCGGAGTCCAGCGTTCTTATCGCCTGAACTATCAAATGTCTTACGAGATAAAGGAATGGCTGTCAGTCATACAACCACCTACAATCCGCAAGCTAATGGTCAGGTTGAGCGATTGAACGGTACTCTTTGGAAGGCTATTTCTCTGGGACTGAAGACGAGAGGCTCAGATATCTCCAAATGGGAATCCGTCCTACCAGAGGCACTGCACTCGATCCGTTCTCTCTTATGCACCGCCACAAAAGCCACTCCACATGAACGAGTTTTCTGCTTTTCACGATGCTCCACCAGTGGTACGTCTCTTCCGACTTGGTTGACTACCCCTGGCCCCGTACTGCTCAAACGCATGGATCGGTCCTCGAAACTGGATCCCCTCGCGGAAGAAGTTGACCTTATCAACTGTAATCCGCATTACGCCTTGGTGAAATTTCCTAACGGAACAACAGAGAATGTCTCCATTCACCGTTTGGCCCCCCGTGGCGACCCACCGATATCGACACTCGAACTCCTAACAACAACAGACCCTCCCTCCGTATCGCTTCACATCATCCCTCCGACAGAATCCGACACCTTACTCGAATCTCCTAGTCTCCTCCACCGACAACGCTCACGACCCACACATATCGATATACTAAAACAACAACAGAGAGCACGCACTTACAATCTACGCAATAGAGAAGCAAGAAACAGAAATAAGTGCTGTTCTTATCACTAAAACACATTTTCGAAGTGTTTCAACTTCAATAAACGTTCGTTTTCCAGCCGGGGTGAATGTCATATTCTTGTGTCTTGTTTATACTCTTCTATTGTGTATTACATAAATCTCTCTTTTCTGTTACAGCTCATGTACCGGATTTATTAGTTGAGTAAAGCGTGTAATTCCGCCCCCGAGTCTTCCCCATTCCGCTCTCGTTTCCTTGCTTCGTAATACGTTACACCCAGGATCGAAATCTTCCGATTACGTGTACTGCTCTAAATTGTTGTGATCAAGGGTAATCATGAAGTCGACATTCAGGCGTGCAGTGACTTTTAGAGGAAAGCAAACCAATACTTCTGACGCAACACCATTAGGCCCTGTGTGTTTGTGTGGGACTATTGGTTGGACCGAAAGGACAAAAACGCCTAGTGAAGTATCGAAAAGAATTCTCGTTTGCAGTTCGTCTCTTCGATGAATTATGTGTACGCTCGGTGAGAAAGATACTCGATTCGAGAATAAACTGCTACTAGTGGTAAATTTCCAGTGAAAGTAGAAAGAAAAGGAAAAGAGATTACATTTTTAATGTAGAACACGCATTTCCAGTTGGTAATTGATCGAGCCAAAAACTGGTCAGTCGACTGGAGCTTACCAATCCACGATGGAAAATGTGCTAGCATGTCTTTTGGTCACGCTCCTGATCAACCTTTCTGGGTAAGCGGCTTAACCCGAATCCAGAAGGTGAATCAGTACAAAATTCTCGGTTTCTGGCTGAATAGGAATCTCTCGTTTTGTTCCCATTATCAGAAAGCCAGTAAATCTGCATTTTGTCTTAAATAGTATTAAACGCTCTTTCCGCGTATAACCAAAGAGGACTTCAGATGCCTCATTCGGTCTTCACTTTTCTCACTTTTGCCCACTCAAGCAACCTCAACCCAGCGGCATCATAGTGCAGCCCACACCCATTTCCCATTACCTCACTTTAATCCCGTGCACCGAACTGCAGAAAAGAAGACGAATACAGAACTGGGACTATTGGGCGCAAACCACGAACCCAATTACTATATATTACTATACTATACTACTACTATATACTACTTCGAAACTTCAAAAATTCAAGACTCCTGCAACTGGGGTGAGATCACAGATTTGTAGCAAAGCTTTGTGCACCGGATTCAGACCCTGATGACCAGATTTTCTTACCTGTTTCTAGCGGTGGATAGTCTGGGAATTTCGGTGTAGCACCTTCACGCAGACTACAGCGAAATTAGCACGGAGTTAATAAATGGTATTGCTGCCTACGACCCGCAAACCGATACCGGAGACATTAACTGTCAAACCCATGAAGCGCTAGGTAGCCATCTGCATAAAATCACATGGGCACACTGGAAAAACGTAAATGCAAACGTTTCACTATCCATAACTCACCTTGGGTAAAGACTAGATACAACCATTACCAGACAAATAGGCAATGCAATCCGTTTTCTTGTTTCTTGCGTCACAGGAGGATTTGCCGAAAAACTGCTTTCAATATGGCCCTCTTGTCTTTGGCCGAAACGGAGGAGTCAGCTCACCCAGTCGAATTGCCATTCGAAGACTATCTACCCATAGCGGAATGCATACTGTGTCCGGTCGATCGTCAGCCAGGAACCAGAGAGAACATCCGGAGATTGGACGTGGAAGGAGTGGATCCGTTCGCGTTTGGCGTGCCGTATCCAACATTTCTTGCTGCACACTGCGTGACAGCGTGCACCCTGGAGGTGCATTTTCCATATAGGCGGGTTCGGATGGAGAGAAATGATCTGGTTTATAACCGATCAATAATGAAATGAATTCCGGATGCGCCAACACCGCTCGTCCGCCCACAGCCATATCCCCACCCAATCGATCCGACGGATTAGGCATTAACAACCCTCCCAGTAAGTTCTGACATTCCGATGACAGTTCCGGGAAGCGTTGAGCATAAAACCGATGACTTTGCATTTGACTGACTGTCGGTACGGGAGGATAGTTTCCGCGCCGTAACAGTCGATAAAACAACACACCCAAACTGTACCAGTCCACGGCATGCCACACGGGCACCGATCCGGCCGGACAGGCGGCAATTTCAGGAGGCATATGTCGACTATTGCAGATCACATTTCCCGAATAAGAATGACCGAATCCACCGGGGATAACACTGGCCAGACCAAAATCAGTCAGACTGATATGACCATCTGCTCGAATGAGCACATTGTCTGCCTTCAAGTCCTGATGCACGATCCCGGTAGAGTGTAACCAAATCAGAGCCTCAGCAATCTCGGCCAAGTAAAAAGTGGCTTCCGACAACAGCATTGGTCTATCCAGAGTTTGAAATGCCAGACTGGCCAGATCACCACCTGGAGCCATAGGAAATAGCAGACAATAGTACAGTGCGTCGTGTTTCTGTCTAGCCGTGTGGCGGACATTCTCCGATCGCAATGCAAGAGCACTTGCACATCCAGTGAGGCATAATTTGGAATCCGGACCAGGAGGACTACGTCGGCGTCTCAGATTCAGTCTGGTGTATGATAGCAGCGGAGTGATGAGTGGATGATCGTGAAACGCGGGAATCCATCGGGTTGATAACGAATCCTGAATATGTTTTACTGAAGTCAGAGCTGAAGCACAGTGGTTCAAAGTGAAGAGTTTATGGCGACGATGTTTGTGCATCTGGTTGTATGCCTCTAACTCAATTTTGTTCGACAATGTATGCGTCAGACACTTGATTACAAAGTTCCACTCCAAACCACCGGATTCATCTCTCCGGGAAGCATGATGAGACCGGGTGAACATTCGAGCTTGTACAATCCGGCCATACTTTCCAATTCCCACCGTGGGACCGACAGAGAACAAATCAAACGGAGTGGGAAATCTGATGTATGACAGTCTGTTCAACTCCGCAAACTGATCCATATCATTCCTTCCACGATTCACTCGAAATGCGGGGGTGTAAAATAAGGTATTGCACATAGAAATACGGAAACTTGGTATTCTGAGTGGTGGCAGTTGGGAGTGAGGACTGGGAAATTGATCTATCCGATCGGCATTATCATCATTATCATCACCATCACATTGAGATAGACAACAGGTGTTATCCAGGCAGACCGCACTGCTAATAGCGGAATCATTAGGAGAGCTGGTCTGATCATCGAGAATTGGGCGGCTCAGGAAGATTCTTCGACCACGAATCATGGGTGAATTCGATTGAGTTTGAGCGGAACATAGTGATGAACTGAACGAATAGAAGCTCGAGTGACTACCTGATTCCACCACCGGTTCCGTGTTGAGTGCTTGTAAAAGATCCTGTCTCAAGTGAACATAATTCATAGGTTGTGATGTGGGAGATTGGTTAAGCACCTGATCTTGAGCATGCATCCACACGGTACACATCCTATCGAAATCGTAAGCAACTGGAAACTGTCATCTCTGCGCACGATTTATGGGACTCAGTTAACCTGACAGTCAGCTGACCGACCAATCGATTTGTTTGCGATCTGCACATGAATGACCAAGAGCGCATGTACACGCACACACACACGCACATCGGTGAGTTACGCTTAGCGTTCGTAACGCGCGTTGCATCATTATTGACATTCGCGAACGTGATTCGTCCAGAGTTGAACATGTGCCGAGTGTCCGTGATGACATCATCAAACACAACTCATTTACTTCTCTAACTTCGATTAACCGTTTTTGTTTTGTCAATGTTTTCGGAAAAACTGTGATCAATAGTAGACTATTTTCAGAGCGCGAAATAGACTGCAACAGATGGGGAACCAAACAAAATACAGTTCAGGATTAAACAATTCGGCTCGATTAGAAAGTGAATGAGAACAGTTGCGAAGTACCAGTAAACAAAATGATCTTTCTTCTCCTTCTCTCTTTGGTCTCGTACGTTTTGTTAGCGACTGGATACGTTGAACAAAGAGCACAACAACGACAGGTATGATATAACCTTATATGTCACTTTCTTCCCAAGAATAGGGAATATGGACAGACTGAACAAAGTCGCTTCTCCTTAGATGGTGAATGTTTGGAATAGCCCATTCGGTTTTTCACAAGCGCTGTTGATGATGTTGGTTGTGGGTTTCACTCCTTGGGAGATCGTTCGTTCCTCGTTATTTGATTGCATTTTTAATGTGTTGGAAATGTTTATGATAAGCGACAAAGAGCATTGGACAGCTGTTTCGTCCTGTCTGGAATCTTTAGCAGTGCGTACTTTGAAGGGGTCCCTGTCAGGACTCGAACCGCGAAATTTCGGGTTGTGATTTCAGACCCTTACCCCGGAGCTACACGGTCGACGATCATTACCTTGTGCGAATAGCTCGATCAATTTGGATGGTGAATGTTTGATGTAGCTCAAGGGTAAGGGTTCGAAGTTCCAACCCGAAAAATCGCGGTTCGAGTCCGGACAGAGACACAAAAAGTACGCACTGCTGACGACTCCCGACCGGGACAAAACAGCTGTCCAGTGCTCTTTGTTGGTTATCACAAACATTTTCATCGCCTTTAAAAGTCACTTCTTAATTGCATGACTGGATGTCACCGACACATTCCACAGATGACTAGGGGCCGGTGGTGGCCCGGTGGTAACGTCACCAAATTATCACCCCTGGGATGTGTTCGAATCCCACCAGCACCGCCCGACTCCGCATTGTGTTGAATCGCCGATTCCCCCTTCCTGAAAATTGTCTTTGTACATTCAATAAAAGGAAGTCGAATGATAAAGAAAGACGAAAACAACAATAAGAATAGAGTGTTCAATGAATACGCTGATAGCCGATGGGTCTTAGGGATAGTTATTTGGGAGCATATAGTAGGGTGATATGTAGGCGGCTCCAGGATGCAATTTCTATTTCCCCAAGCTGACAGATGCGAATCCGGTAGGGCACGCGGAGTGGGGGGTGGGGGTGGGTAAGAGGGGTGGAATGCTCCGACTACATGATCCTCGTGGTTTTAATCCACGAGGCATGATATAACATCGAACTATTGATGAAACGCCTAATCTATTATTCGGTCATGTTGACTTGCGCTCATCGTTTCGCTCAGACAGGTGTGTCATGTGAGATACACAGGGACTCGGGTTCAAGTCCGGACAAAAATGGAGACTGCAGAATGGGGCAATTTCTATCCAAACACAATGTGAAACTCTACTGCGAACTAAGTCTTTCTGCATCTGTTCTCACTGGCTACCTCAAAAGTTGCATTGCCACCAAAAATGTAGCATCACGCATAACGTAATCCTTCTAATGGTTGTGATGCTCTAAAATGCTGGGCACAAATGGTTCTCGACTAACCGTTCCGTAGCAAAACAAGCAGAAATTTGTAGTTCGAAATGAAATCAATCGTTCATGAATAATTTGATCTCTCTGTCGTGCGTAGATTTTTTCTACTAGTTTCAGCTCAAGATTTAAAATACTTGTACCAGTTGACTGATAATGGCTCTTAGAAAATTCGACTTCGGAACTGCACATTTAGAGATAAATTCCGTTGCATAAGCTAGTAAATGGACAGTTTAAAATGAACTTTCTCAGTTGAACTTTTTTTAGTTAAAATGTGTGGCAATTAAGAAGGGCCTTCTGAGTGATACATTTAAGCAATGCTTGCTGTATGTACATGGTTCCAGACAACCCCGAACAACAGAGGCAAATGAGTGCTGCATTTTTGACATAGTGTCATTCGGTTCAGTTAGTCCGGAAAACTTGATTGCAGTATGCGGGACATAATTGGAGTCACTAAAAATGCGTGTGGTGGTGGTGGTGCTGAGCATATCACTGGTCGTTCTGTCGAAGCATCTGAGCAGCCAGTGCGAACACACCGCGGATTCCTCGAGGGTCACATGCTATCTATCTTGTACCAGTTTGATTGAGAGTCTAAACTCAGTCAGTATACACTCAATACTGGGTGTGGCCGACCAAAAGATTAGGCAAAGAAGTCGCAGGGAAATCGTGATTCACGAAGCTAAGTGAACGAGGAAAATCTGCTATTGGTATCACTTGTTTGACCTTGACTAATGACACCTCAAGGGGAATCCAGTGTAAACTACAACTGTCAACTCATACAGAAATCATATTTTGCAATGAAAATTCCACAATCTGATTGATGTATGGACCGCATCACATCTACACATCCCTTATTCGATCGGGTCCATCCTAATGGTATACTATCTCAACCAACCGGTATTTGGATTCTGAATTGGCCTTTTCTGTTTGTGTTATTCGTTTCCAGTTCCGAGCCCAAATGAAAGAAGAGTAAATTAATGTCATATTGTGATACGCAATCTACTAAGCACGACAGTTATTTCAGCTGATGTCTTCTAATTTGTGGTCCCTGAAGGGACTAAATTATTATGCTAAGCGAAGCGAAAAAACTGATTCGAATATGATTAATTGGGTTGAATGAAAGAGAGAAGGAGAACACGTCTGGAGTGTATAACCCATACCTGTTCGAACCACTTCTGTTGGTGAAAGTCAAACGCATGCTACAACAATAACGTATCAGGCGATTCCACAGTTCTGAAACACACTGGAATATCCACTGTCGTTCATTCTCACTTTTAGCCGGTGAAACTGGGTTGGATGGTGCGGCATGATCGCAATTCACAAGCCGAGTCCTAGTCAGCCTCCCCCAAACCCTCCCCCAACTCACCCTAGCCAGCCTGAGTTGTTTGTGCATGGAGCGGACTATCGTTGACCGTGTGTTTTGATCAGTTGCTGATTGTCAAAAACAAGTCATGGTATTCTGATCTGCGAGATGGATGCAACGGACGGCAACGAAGCGCAATTGTTCTAGCTGAACGCAGCAGTTCTGTGTGTCGACGAGAAGATATCCAAAGGACTCAAACGTCTGGATTCGAAACTTTCCAATTTTGAGGGTGCAAAGTGCAGACAGCGTTTTCTTCGGGACCAAATCTCTTCAGAGGAGAACAAATGAATGCACAAAGATGAAAACCGATGTAAATCGACCGCCACACCTTCTCATTTGTTCGCCAAGTTTTGCAATATCAAAATTTGTTTGCGAGTCCGGCCGAAACAGCGATGGACATTACAGTGAAAAAGCACCATCTCACTCGAACACACGTCCGTTGTTCAATTTGAGACATCAAATAAATCTGCCAGACGCGTTACTGGTCATCTTACCACTCCATAGTTGTCAGAAATTAGGTCCGATTGAAGCGGACATCGTCAGTACACTGAAACCAGAACTATGCATGCGAATGACATTTATTTAGACGTTTGTCCCACAGCCCACGTCCTTCCCTTCCTCTCAGTCGCTCATCTAATTTATGTATTATCCGTCCCTCGACTACACACCCCACATTTCGTTTTACTTGATACCCGTCTAGCTCAATTCACCCAAGTTGCCCAGACTTATCGTCCGTTGTGATCATTATCCTGGTTACATAATCTAGTGACCGATTACAGATTTGACATTCACCTCTTCAGTGTTACGTACTCATGTTAATGTGCCTTGATAGTTGTTTGAAGGTCCTCGACAAATGATGATCTATAGATCAATTCAAACACCACTGACGTTCTGGTTGTTCGGAAACGGGTAGTTAACTCCTTGATCGAATAACCAATATTAAATGACCCATATCTGACCATCTCTGATTCTAAACAAGAGGTGGCAATCGAAGAGACAGGGTTGTTTCATTTTTCCGATCACTTAATGCTTTGAATGAACTCGCGCCTGCACATAGTCACGCCTATCTTCACTCCTGATTGTGCGGTGAGTCACTTTATCAAACCATCACGATTGGAACGAATGATGTCAACTAGCGTAGGGATCGTCTTCATTATCCATTGAATCTGACCTAATCAACGTGTCCGGGATGCGACCAGTTAGACTACCACCCCACCCATCCATCTGGGTGAACAAACTGCTTTCTGAGGCAGTTACTCCCAGTGGACTGATATTTTTCAGTGTTTAACAAAACTGACTAAAGGTGAACTTGTATACGACCCAATTGATCATTTTACTCAACCAGACTCGCACACACACACACACACACACACACACACACACTGTCTGGATGGTTTTGCCATTATATGCGATCTTAATCACAACATTTAGTCTGATCGTTACAAACTCAAACTCATCGGGCCCCGGTCATTCATTTCTTTCCAGTCTTCATGTGCTATCATCTTTTAGGGATCTCACACATTCCCTGTTCACTATTCAGCGAATCTCAGTTTGTGCAGCTCAAGCTTCGTGCCTCATCTTCAACCCTCTTCTTTTGAATTGCTTTTCAACTTGCCCCCACGGCTGATTACTCGGTATTTGATCTTCTCTTACTGCGCACTGAAAATAGTTTGCAATCAAATTCCAACGTTGAAATGACCACCCGACGTAACGTCATTGATCATGACGACGACAACAGGAACAAC